AGATGACGATGAATATTGGAAAAGGTTCGACTATCTGGCAAAGCACGATCGGGATATCTCTGGTGATAAATCCGTCTGGCTTGCTCACCATTACCGTCGGCAAGGCATGCATTTAAAAACTAAATAATTAAAAAGATGTCACAACGAACAGATTTGGATAACAGAAACTTGTCAGATGTCAAAAGCCAGTAACATATTCCAGAGCAACTAGATATTTAATGCTAAATTGCTTTCTTCAATTATTACATTAATTTTCTCGGACAATAGAACGGTTTTCATTTTTTTACTAAAAAATGGCGCATCGAAGGAAAACAATTCAAGAGAGATCATTTGTTTTAAATTGAACGGGGAATTCAAAAATAATTTGTATTTGGCAAAAAACCGTTGGCGTACTATTTTTTGCTTAAAAAATATTAAAGTACGCATTGAAAAATATGCAACTTTATTAATTTTCACTACGTACTAAATATCAGTGAAATATCTGAAGCGGTTCTGAAAATATTAACTAATTTCCATTCTTTTTGGACCATAGTTTATAAAGCAAACTAATATTAATTTTTCATATAGATTCACACCCTTAAATATTTGCATATCATCAAGGAACACCCTGTATATTTTGACACACAAAAAAGATAGGCCTGCTAGATCAGCCTTTACTGCTCGATGTCTGAGACCCTTCAAAAATTCGTTTGCAATGCAGTGGTCTACACATTTTGTTATGGTAGAGAGGTAGTGTGCCACGACATTTTATCATTTTATTATAAGCAGTAGTAGGCCCCACTGGTACTATCCCTGATAAATTTCAAGCTGTTTCTGAATATAGCCGCAAATATAGAGAAGGCTGCGCCTAGAATCCATTTCAACCAATCAAGGGCACAGCTCAATTATAAGGTAATTGAATTAAGCGCAGAAACTGCTTTTAGCGGAAGAATGGATTCCAAAAAGGGAAACTGACAGTTTATTACTATTCTGACTGATTGAATAGCAGCCTCATTTTAACGACTTGGACTTACCATAGTGTTGAGTGAAATTTGAATAGTTTCAGAGTTTTGGACATCTTTGGAAAAATAGTTAGGTCTCGAAATTATGTATACCAAAATATACAGTTTCAATACGAACTTCTAATATAATCCCTGATTGACTAACAATGTTGTTCTGTTATATTTAAATATTTCGAAAAATGCCAAGAATAGAAATAAGAATAAATGGACTTAAGATCCTTTGTGATCTTTTAGTAGCAGTAGTCGTGGTGGGGAGGTGAAGCTTGGGAGCTAGCCAACTTTCATCCTTTTTACCGACCCCGTTCTAATCTGTGTATAATCTTTCGCCTAGTCTAGTCTTCTCTTATTAATTTTTAACGACCCTCTTAATCTTGGGAGCTGAACCCCCCTCTCGTTTTCCAATTTTCTTTAGGTATAATTATCGTTCTGTGACCTCCCACCTTTTTGCTGCGAAGGAAATTTATTCTTTAATAAAGAAACAACAGCAAAGATCGGACCTCTATACATATACTGCTGTTCAGAAAAGTCCCCCCCTACTAATTTTTTGATCTAGTCAACCTGAAATTTGCAAGGATGGAATTGACGCATGGACACTAAATTTTAACGTAAGAATAACAGTTGACCATTGCAAGTCGACGGGTAAGAATCTTCTTGTAACATTTTTTTCAATAGAATGGGAGGTCATATGCTATCTTATTTGCAGCTCCTTTACCTCTGTATCTTATGTCCTTAGAATATAGTATCGATATTTTTCAAAATGACGGACTGACAGGATGTCAAAGTTTAGTATTTTTGTACATTTGTTATAACTCAACAACTAAGACTACATAGTCGAGCAAGTTCGCAAACACACAAGGCCACGGCTCGCCATGTGAACAAAATTAAATCGCGCGACTTTAGGTCCAGCCAAAATTATAATTTTCCTTTAACAACCAATATATAAATTAATTTTCAGATCAATTTAAAATTCTCAAATAGCAGTTAACAATGCCAAAGCACCCCTCAAATTGACGCACTTCTTTCTATTTGCAGGTCCTATCGACCGCTCTGACAGCGAATAACAAATAGAATGGAATTCAGCAACTAATCATCTAAACATTATAGCATGTTATATCAATCTTCTTCTTTTGGAAGAGACTATTTATGCGGCTTAAAAAATGTTAGATTTTGATGATTTCTTTAAATGGAATTTTATTATACAGGGTGTTTCAGTTTATTGTTGCATAACTTTAAGATTCGATAGAACTTTTAAAATTAATGCATAAAGTCTATAAACATGGGTCGAAAAATGCGTGGCTTCATAGTTTTACTGTAGCCGCTAGAGGGCGCTCTCTACTGTACATGTAGTGTATTAAAATGAACGAAAAATTTTTCTTAGTGCAATTTTTTGCTTTTTGAATAAAAAAACTGATTCTTCGCACTTTTCAACATAAAAAAGCTATCTTGTGAATGTTCGTTATAGTTAGCCGTTTTTGAGATATTTCGATTTTTAAGGTTCGATGCATTTTTAATTATTTATGATAAAATAACGTTAAAAAGTCAGTATCTCGATAATTTTTAGAAGTAGGCTGTGCCTGCAAATATTTTTGAAATTGAAAGCAGAATAAGATTAAACGTCAATTATTTGACAGTTAGTTTTGTTGTCTGTTGAAACCTGAAATGTTTTTTTGCAATTGTGAATGCACGACATTTAGTTTCTTTTACCTGTTTTTTTTTTGTAAGTTTTATAAAAATGCCTTTTTATTCTCCAATCAAGATTTAGCGGATATTCATTTTGTGTATGGCTTTGTAAATGGAAATGCAGCAGAAGCAGCCAGAGAATACGCACGAAGATTCCCAAACAGACGACATCCAACTCGCTCAGTATTTGTAAGAGTGCATCGCCAAATAATTGAAAATGGTTTTGGAAATCTCCAAAGTGATCAAAACATACATGTTCGTCACCGCAAATTTACCCGTATGATTCTGCGTGAGTTTGATAGAGATCCGACCACAAGTGTTTCTGGTGCCTTGGGAATTTCAGCAAGCCATATTCACCGTGTTCTTAGAAATGACCATAGACGTCCTTACCATTTGCAACCTGTGCAAGGACTACTGTCAGGGGACGGAGAACGAAGAATCACATTTTGTCAGTGGATTCTTGATAGAACTGATAATAATAGGGAGTTTTTAAGTAACGTTTTATGGACCGATGAGTCATGCTTCACTAGACGTGGAGTGGTAAATTTTCATAATCAACATATTTGGTCGCATGAAAATCCGCATGCAGTTCGGGAAAGAAATTTTCAGCATGAATTTAGTGTTGAACGTGTGGATTGGTATCTACCGTAATCGACTATTTGGACCCTACCTTTTGCCTGCAAGGTTAAATGCTGCGACCTTCTTGGAATTTTTAAAGGCTGAACATGCAAATGTGTGGGATGATGTTATGTTAGATTTAAGAAGATTGGCCTGGTTCCAGCTTGATGGTTGTCCAGCTCATTATTCGAGAATAGTTAGAAACTGGCTGGACGAAAATTATCCCGAAAGATGGATCGGCCGTGGAGGACTAGTCGCCTGGCCTCCACGATCCCCTAACCTAAATCCATTAGATTTCTTTGTGTGGGGATTTCTAAAAGAAAAAGTGTTCCAGACTCCCGTAACCACAAGAGATATGCTAATAGATAGAATCAGGAATGCATGTGATGAAATAAGGCCTTATTTGAATAATGCTATACCACGTTCGATCATTCGTAGATGTGAATTGTGTATTGAACAATTGGGTTTACATTTCGAGCAACTACTTTAGATTTTGTATGTTTGTCCTTACTATCCAATAGCATTTTAGTTGTAAATAATTAATTTCATTTGTTAAAAATAATATTGGAAAATTAAACAAATTAATATTCTGTTTGTTTGTGTTTATTTGAAGTTAGGAATTATTGCTGTGTTTGAAAACACAATCTAAACGATCATCTTAATGACTTGTAATGCAGAAATCGAAAATGTAAAAAAACATATTATTTTCCCATAAATAATTAAAAATGCATCGAACCTTAAAAATCGAAATATCTCAAAAACGGCTAACTATAACGAAAACTCACAGGAGAGCTTTTTTGTGTTGAAAAGTGCGAAGAATAATTTATTCAAAAAGCAAAAAATTGCACTGAAAAAAAATGTTTCGGTCATTTTAATACACTACAGGTACAGTAGAGAGCGCCCTCTAGCGGCTACAGTAAAACTATGCATATGGTTCGTTTTGTCGTACCAAAAAACCCTTGTATACCAATTTTCACTATTATACACCAAATATTGTTCGAAATATTTAAAAAAAACTATTTTAGAAAGTAAATTTAAACACCCTGTATTTCGGAAGCCACGCATTTTTCGACCCATGTTTATATAGACTTTATGCATTAATTTTAAAAGATCTATCGAATCTTAAAGTTATGCAACAATAAACTGAAACACCCTGTATATTTGGATGGATCTTTCAAAGAGAGATTGATAAAACACACCATAGCGATTTGAGGGTGAGCCATAAGCGATCCAATATACCGGGTAATATATAATAATAAAATTGCTCAGTTTTGACTGCCTGCTAGTTCACTACTTTGAATGATAGTGATTTTATATCCTAAGGTTATAACGTATTCACGAGAAGCATCACATTTGAGTGACCACCTATTCAATTTAAAATGGTTTTCCAAAATAGCGCCATGCTGCCTTCTTGAGACTTCCAGCTACCACTTACTCTAAAATACATCATTTTCATTAGCCCCAGTTTTAGTTTTCTCACTTGACCGGTTCAAAAACTAAGTAGGGGGACTTTTTTTAAATGCACTGTATATTCGCGGGCTACGAGTCTAACTCTGCTGGATCACTACGTAGCTAAATTTCAACCTTGTAATGCTAAAGACCGCATAATTATATCCTACCTTCAAACAATGAATATTGTTTCCTACTATTAACGACAAAACATTTACATTGGTTAACCACAGCCTCAAATTGTTAGTATACCTGTGATGTGGTGTTCTGAGGACCGTTTAGGTCGCTTTGACATCAATTCCCCGGCTGTTCCTGTGGAGAAACTTGGGAGATCGGTTAACAACTTTGACGGCTTCTCAAGGGCGACCTGAAACAATAGACCTTATTTAGAGGGCGTCGATGATCATTAGTACTAGATTAAAGGGTAATCTTGTTTTCCCTCTGTCCTATGTAGAGGGTATCTAACTTCATCTAAAGATTCGGAAATTCGATTAATTTAATTAAAAAAAAATTAAAATGTTTTTGTTTTCAGATGCGCATATCAGGCATAATTTAGGTCAGTCAATACATTCTTCCCGGTCAAATAATACCGCAATAATACACGCTCGTTGCAAAAGCAACAAGTCAAGTGACTTATGTTGCCTTTGCATGCACTGCCCGACGGCAGGTACTTGAATTGGTCATTTTAAGAGCAGTACCTGTTTTCACATTTATGTGTTATATGCACTAATATACCAATTTTCAATTCAATATTTGGAAGTTTTCTTGTTTCCTATCATTGGCTCAATCCTCCTCATTTGTATGACTAAGAAAGTTCTTTTACTATATGCTGAATATTTTGAAAAGCTGTTCGTATACACACTGTAAAACTGAAATTACACGTTTCAATAGCAATACTTGAAACATACATTTTGCTGCCTGGTGGGTTCTTCTACAATCGATTGCCGATTTAAAATTAGCTATATGGATGGATAGATCGTTTTACGACTGAAAAAACGATTAGTATTCTGCAAACGCACTTTGATATTTTCATAAAAATTACTATGGTATAACGAAAAATGGTCACAAGAACGGCATCGTAAATATGAAGTTTTTGAAGCTCAATGGGATAATATCCACCTCAACAATGTGATCTTTCACCAACACACAGTCACATGTCATAAGGACGATTAACGAGCTAAAGCAAAACATTTCTCAGGTTATTGGGTCAAATTGCATCAATTTTGCCAAAAGATTTAGTCGGAGACTGATCATCTGTAGAAACAGCTGAAGGAGGCATTTGGAGAATATTATTTATAAAACATAAGTTGTTCTTTCTATTTGAAAACAAAATCCTCAAGTACCTATTGGAAGGCCCTTTAGTTGATAGGTCTTTGCATATCATTATGTTCAAAGTGGTCAATTTTATTTCAACAGAGCGCAACACTGAAACCTTATGCGAGTAGTATGTTTTCTAGATGCTGTATATCACAAAAAACTAGCTATTTTGGGTCGTTCCGTCTGTCTGCTGGTTTATTTTTTGCCCCCTGTAGCTCGGAAAATTGCAGGATGAACTTTTTCCAGAAGATGGAAAATCATGTAGGAGATTTGAAATTCGGTTCATTGGCGGTGGACTGAAAAATATCTGAATTCGGTCCAGTACCAATCTTCCTGTTTGCATCTTTTTGGAGATACGAGGGTGGTCCCAGAAGTACCCGGCCTGACAGAGATGGCGATAGTTGTTTGAAAAATATCACTGTATTAGAAAGTATGCAACCTATAAAGCATATGTGTCAAGTTTGAGGACGCCACGTTGTTTAGTATTTGTTTGGCAGCCATCAATACTGAACGTTTTCAGTGAATTTGTGGAAATGGAGAAAATTAGTATGTGGTACAATACTTTTATTTCAAAGGCCTCAGCCCAACCAATATAAAAGCTGAACTGGATTCTACTCTGGGTGAGTCTGCTCCTTCGTTTACAACAGTAAAATGCCAAGACGACCATCGCAGTGGTCGACCAAATGAGGTGACGACTCCAGAAATGGTGAAGAAAATTCACAAAGCGGTACTGAATGATCGTCGACTGAAAGTGCGCGAGCTAGCAGACGTAGTAGGCATTTCAAAAAGTGCGGTTCATCGCATATTATCTGAAAATTTGGACATGACAAAGCTGTGTGCAAGATGGGTGCCGCGATTGCTTACAATCGAGCAAAAACAGTGTCGTGAAGATGTTTTAATTGAATGTTTAGCGAAGTTTTACAGCAACAAAGCAGAATTTTTGCGTCGTATCATAACCATGGATGAAACATGGGTCCATCACTTCACACCAGAGACGAAAGAACAATCAATACTCAAAAGCGACAACGAGCTCCAAAGAAGGCGAAGACCGTTTCATCTGCAGGCAAGGTTGTGGCGTCGGTTTTTTGGGATGCACGTGGGATAATTTTCATTGACTATCTTGAAAAACGGAAAACTATCAACGGCGAGTATTATGCGAACTTATTGCAACGTTTTAGCGATGAAATCAAGCAAAAACGGCCGCATTTGGTTAAGAAGAAAGTGTTGTTTCATCAAGACAATGCACCAGCTCACAAATCCGTTATTGCAATGGCCAAAATTAACGAATTAAAGTTTGAATTGCTACCTCATGCACCATATTCACCAGATTTAGTCCCCTCGGATTATTTTCTGTTTCCATACTTGAAAAAATGGCTCAGTGGTCAAAGATTTTCCAACGATGAAGAAGTGATGTCGGCAGTTAATGGCTATTTTGAGGAGCAAGACAGTTCTTATTATAAAAAGTGTATAGAGCTCAATGGAGATTATGTTGAAATATAAATACATTTTTTCCAATTTTTTTGTGTTTTCTTCGTTGGGTCGGGTACTTCTGGGACCACCTTCATATTATAAAGAATGTACTTCATTTTCCAATTAAGCGCATGACAAAGATTTTTGTGAAGTGCCGAAAATTTCAAATTCAAGTTATTTTTTTTTTTAGATTGAGCATTCCCAAACATTACGTTTCTTCAGTCAACGAGGTATCTTTAATACAGCTTAAAAAATACTTCACAGTTCTACAAGTTGAAAATAGATTTCTATTAATGTTCGAAATGTACTGAGTCAAGACAAGTCGAAAACGTTTTTTGCCATTTTGCGTTTCGGTTACCGTGCTAAAAATAGCTCACAAGCAAATTAAATACTTTATCGTAATATAGAAAAATGCATACCTATGTACGGTTAGACATATGGGCAACAAATATTACGGAGTGCTTTTCAAATATACTTAGCATTAAGTAAATACAGATACACCTACAATACGTATGTGTATATCAATTCACGGATGTCAGTCTGTCTACACAGGAAAAATATATCAATGCACCCCAGCAATCTGCCAAATGAGCATTCATTGCCATATGACTGTACGAAACGAAAATATTTACGTCTGAAATGGAACAGTAATAGGTACTAAGTACATATTTTATAAAAGTTGGCGGATCTTCAGTTTAACACCACTTAACACATCCACCATCATTTGATATATTATGAAATACAGTGTATTAGTATTCCCACAATTTTGGTGAAGGTACGTATATTTTTCTTTTCGGTATGCGCTCATAAAAAGCACAAATGCTATCTCTTAACAAAGTCAACCACTGTGAGGTTAATAACAACTACTTGTTGGAATAGAAAAGGTTTCATGCTTCACGTTCACTGTCGAGTGATCACCATGACCCCTAAAATTCTGATGATTATCGTACATTGATGTACTCCCCATTGAGAAATAATAAAATAATGTATTCTGCTTTTGTTCATCCGACCAATCATGCACAGCTGTTTCATGTTTATTGACAATCATCAGCACTGTTAATGGGACAATGCACCAAAGCTGAGGAAGAGTAACTTCTATCAGAGAGAACTCGTTTTTGAACTGCCGATAGCGTGATGCGTACCGTGTGTGCAATTAACTTGCAAGGACTTCTTAAGTCCGATCAATGTGAACAGTGGATTTCTACATTTGTCGACTTGACTTGGTCTCCAGAAAATCACTTGCTTGTATCCTCTTATAACCAGAAACTAACCAAGTATACAGGACAAGGTCGCTCAGAAGAGGTACAAATTCCATGACATTAAATTCGTTAAAACCTCATTCACTACTACCCTACCGAAAACTTTGATGGATGGATGATATGATAGTAATAACTTTTCACATTACTCACCGAACAAATCTTCTCATGGATTTGCATGTTATTCGTACGTTATATAATTCCTGGCCGCAATGCCGAGATTTGAATGTCTCGTTTGTGCTTCATTTCCGAAACGTCCAAAATGCTAATGCGGTCGGAAAATAAATCGGGAATAAACCGTGCCCCCTGCATAATCACGTGCCCTGCTTAAGTGACGGCATTTCATTCAAATGGTAATTTTTTATACGTTAAGTTCGTTCTATATTCTTTGACAAAATGAATTCTGATCCTTCCGTCTTTTGTGGAGGAGCATAAGGAGCTTCTTTTTTCCATATACTGAAACAGGCCACTAGGGCCCACTTCCCACGCTTACTGGCGAGTAGCTATTGTGATCGCAAAAAATTTCTGAAACGAGATATAATGTTCTTTGAATGTTATATGACATGTACCACATGTATATGAAAGCCTATTTCTGCTGGTCAGTCAGTGTATTTGTCCGTTAAGCCTTGACCCGTCTATAAATTGGAAAGTGTCGCTCGGATGTTGATGAACATCTCACTTGAGATAACTTCTATGCCAGAGAGGAAAAAGCTTTGTCGTTTTTGAAAATCGGTCCAGAAGTGCCGGTGTGAAGGGCCAAAAACCAACAAAATAAAAATTGCAAAAACTTTTTTGACTTTTCAGGGGATCCAGATCATTTTCAGAAACATAGTAAAAGTTTCACTTTTATCTTTTTTTCTCAAGCCAATAATTTAGTATAGGTGGTTTCAAACTCAATTGATAACGTCGCATAAAATTGTCACAATCGTTTCACCAAACAAGAGATACAACGCGTCTGTCGCTTACTTTGACCAGTTACTTTGTAAGTTCGACCGCGCTCATTACTTTGTCACCGAAAGACACAATATTCCTGGGCTATTTAATTGCCGTGTTGTGATTACGAATTTAAGTGGTGTACCATTTTAAAAGATATTTTATTCATTACAAGAGAATTATTTTGTTTTGTTCTAGTTCAACACCATAACTAAAAGTTTTCCATTATTTTAAAATCGTTGCTCTACCGCTCTTGAAATAACTGGCTGAAATGTATACCTTCCCACAAAGTAATATTCCATGCATATTAATTTTTAAAAATGATGATACGGAATCTTCGCAACCTCAAATAATCTTCGAAACATTCCGCTATATGCCCCTAACTTAAATT